TCAGGTAGCTTCTGTGAAAGAGCAAAAAAGCTTCTTTCTCAGAACCCCTGAAAGTACCTTTTCTCACATATTATTGTTTGATTGGGATTCAAGCCCACATTTAATCCAATCCCTTGGCCAATGAGAGGTGTGAAGATGGCCTAAAATTAATCCTTAGAGCTGTGGGGTACAGTGTCAGCTCTTCTGGGAGAATGTGGGCTGCGTAGAGGAAAACGGATAGTCAAAGGAAAATCACATTCTGTTACTGACAGAAGCCTGAGAGTTGATTGAATTGTGGGTGGTCCATATTAATAAATGCCCCTTCCCCTGTCTCCTACACATGTGTGTTCACACATCATGGTCGTTAGGAATTTCACAATCAAAGTTTCCTTTTATAATGGATTTGCTTTCTGGACTTCATGTTTTGACAGATTCTATCTACTAAGAAACTGAGAGCTTTGTTATAACAAATTTGGTTTTGCATTTTCATGCATGAGAAACTGGTATTACCATGACGAGTTCATGTAATTCCAACCTAAAAGTAATAAAATTGATCTTTTAGAAAGACTGGGAGACTCGATAGGAAGTAAACGTACAATTACAATTAGAATTATTGAAATATTAAAAATAGCTTGATGACTCTCAGGAATCAAGGGCTCTGTTTGGAAGCACTCTTGTAAAATGTGACTCTTCGGGTCAAGTTTGTCTAGATCTTTCCTGACAAATGGAGAAAGTCAAGATGAATAATCCATTGCACAAACAACCTGGGGTAGATTTGCCCTTTGGTGCCTCATACCAGCCCCACCCCCTACATGCTCCCTGTCGCTGCTTTTTTCCTCCAGCCATGTGATACCACTGAAGAGTCTCCCTGCAAAAAGAAAAAAAAAACAAACTTTGAAGTAATTAGGCTTTTTCCTTGACCTTTTTTAAAATATAGTCATTATTCAGAAAGTGTGTTTATCAGCAACTCCTCAGTCTCAGTGGCTTAGCAAAGTAAACATTTATTTTTCATTCGTACCACAGTCCAAAGTGGGTTGCTCTTGGAGTCTGTAAGGGCCCTGCTCCATGTGATGATACAGGGAACCAGGTTCCTTCCATCTCAGGAGTTCCTGGGGCCTCAGTTTTTCCAGTGGAGCCTGTAGAATGATGGCATGTGGATGAAACACAGATGCTTGTGTGGGCAGATCTCAGCAATCTGGCCTGGAAGAGACGCACTTTATTTCTGTCCACATGCCTACATGCTACTGGTCAAGACACAGTCCTGTCCTCATCTAACAGTAAGAGAGCTGACGAATGTGGTCTGATCATGTGCCCAGATGGAAAAGGATTTGGCTAATGCATAGGAGTCTTTGTTGCAGACAGAAAAATATTTAGGGTGGCTCAGTGGGTTAAAGCCTCTGCCTTCAGCTCCGGTCATGATCTCAGGGTCCTGGGATCAAGCCCTGCATCGGGCTCTCTGCTTGGCAGGGAGCCTGCTTCCCCCCTCCCTCTGCCTGCCTCTGCCTACTTGTGATCTCTCTGTGTCAAATAAATAAAAATAAATAAAATCTTTTAAAAAAAGTTTATTTAGAATGTTACTTTTCTCCTGACACAGGTACACAGGAACATTCAGAAAGCCAGGGTTTTTGAATTGTAGCATTTTAAATTGGGAGGGTCATAAGTAATGAGCTAAATCCTTATTGAAGAACAGCTTGTTTTGCAATTAACAAAGAGAAGAGTCTCTGCAAGATGTATTTTTACCCCAGAGGTCATTGGATATAGTCTCTTGGCCCTCCTAGGACTTCTAGCAAGAGCGTATATTATGGTAGCCATTATTCGAGGAACCATAATGCAAGTAACTAATTTTCTCCAGTTGGAAGGTGGGCAGTGGTTTGGAGTACTATTCTGAGGCTGTTCCCCGAGAAGGGGGCAGGATCTCAAAGGAATTACTGTGTGGTTTTGAGGAGGGAAATGAACCTAAGGTCTCAGATTTATACCCATAGAGAGGGGTTTCAGTGCCTCAAGAATGAGAGTAAGAGGACTTGAAGAACCCATGGCAGGCTTGGATAGTGGAGATCTTGGCACTAATCAAAATGGCCCAAAACCAAGAGATGGGAGAATGGAGACACTGAGCATCTTTAAATTTGATCTTCATATGATCTAAATGCTCTTCAATGGCCCTAAAATGGAATGGAGGGGACCCACATCATGACAAATTAAAATATGGGCCAGCTTTGCTAGTTAGAGCTATACAATCAGAATTCTTTTTGCATAAAGAAAATAAACAAGATAATCCTTTGTACTCAAGACTGTGGCTATGTATTTACATATTTTATAACCATTAGGACTTCAGTGCAGGGAAAGTTAGAGTGAGCTCTCTGTAAAGGCAGATGAATACAGAGGGACTGTAGGTAGAAAAGCAAGGTACTAGGAGAGAGGAAGGAAGAGAGTGCCAGGAAAGCTATGGACCCTTGGGAGCCCTTGAGACTCTTTTGGAGGTACAAAAGGTCAAAACTATTTTCATAATGCAAAGACATGATTTTTCTTTTTTATTCTTGTCTCTATGAACGCACAGTGGAGTTTTACAGAGGCAACAAGTAGAATAAGAAGCAGATATGAATATCCAGCTATTTTCCCTTTAACCAGGCATAAAAGAATTTGCAAAAATGTAAAACACTCTTTCCATTAAATATTTTTTGTTTTGGATTATATAATTATTTTTCATAAAATATGTTATTTATGTTCCCTGCTATTTATTGCTATGTTAAATGAAGTCATCAGTAGTTTTTTGTCTCAGTTTTAATTTCCAAAACAGTAAATATTGATGAATATAATCCACATTTTAGAAAGTTCTTTAGGGGCCTCAATTACTTTTAAGAGTGTAAAGAAGTCCCGACACCAAATTGTTTCAGAATGCTATAGTAGAGAATTAGATCAGAGGTGAGAAAAATTAAATTCTACCATTTGTGGTCAAGTAACCTCCGAAGCTGTGGTGCTAAGAAGGTATATTGTTCTTTCTGGAAAAAAATCCTTAGAAGAGCAGTAGCAATTAACTAGGGGTTGCAGGAGTAGGTGGTCATTGTTGGGATAACTAAATGTTAATAACACTGCATACAGCAAGGTGTATATCTAAAATAATTGCAATACTGCCATCTAGTGTATCATAATGAAAATATTTTAATATTTATTTTTTTCATTCAATTTATGATGATTGCTTCAGAACTGAATGACCATAGGGACTTATTTGAATAGTACGCCCTGTATTTTTTATTTGTATTTCACCAAGCATGTACCTTTAAATATTTTAAATGTCTTCTCTCATTTCTTTCTATATTTAATCTCTTTTTTCTTTTTTCTTCTTAGGGTTAGAATAACTGGACAGGGTAGGATTCCCCTCTAGTTATATCCCATTCTAATCTTGTGTTCCTGTCATGACACAGTGTAGGATGATTTAAACACTGTTTTAGGGGGACTGAATAAGTAACTTTACGTACCATGATTTTTTTTTCTTTTTTTTTTTTTTTTACGTACCACGATTTTGCCTAACTCCTCTCTCCACAAGAATTAAAAACAATAAAAAAAAAGGCTGTTAAATTTGCCTCCAATTTTTTTTTTTTTTTTTACTTTTTAAAGTTTTTACTTTAATTTTAGTTAACATACAGTGTTATGTTAGTTTCAGGATCAATTTTAGATGCGCAGAAAGGTTGCAAAAGATAGTACAGAGCATTCCCATGTCCCCCCTCACCCACTTTCCCCTATTGCCAGCATTCCACATTACTATGGTGCATAGGCTGAGTGCCTGGCATGATGGAGGAAAATCCCACTTCAAGGCACATGGCTGTGAAATTTCAGAAATAGAAGCTTGGGAAGCAGTGAAAGTGGGCTGGGGCACAAAGCAAGTTATAAATAAAAGATTAAGACTTGGATTGTCATCAAGCTTCTCAAGAGCCAAACCAGAAACCAGAATGCCATGAACCAATACCTTTAAAATTCTCAGTGAAAATGACTTCCATCATAGAATCCCAGAGTAGTCAAACTGCATATCAAGCATGACATTAGAATAAAGACAATCCTAGAACCACAGAGTTTCCAAAAAGTTACTTTCCGTGCCCCCTTTATCAGAAAGTTAGTCAAGGATTTGCTTCTCTAAAAGGGAGAGACAAAGGGGAAGAAAGCACAAAAGAGAGGGGATATAGGGTGCAGATTAAGTGACTCTGTGCTGGTCTAAAAAACAAACTGCAAAAAAAAAACAAAAAAAACAAACAGTGCAGAATGAGCAGGGAAACAGAGGTGTTTGGAAGCCAGAGAGTTAGAATTCTATTGGACTGTTTGGGGATGAATTAGTGATAGGTATACTGAAAATTCAATACAAAAACCAGACAGTTGATTAACCCAGAGAAAATAAAAGGTTGCATGTAAGCATGGACTACTATTACACGGCTCAGTGTTGACCATATATAATCACAGTAATGTAAATATCGAGTATTTATTTAAACAAAAAAGGGAATCTCATCCTGTTGCGGGATGAGGAGAGAGAGCAAGAGGGAGGGAGACAGAAAGAGTGAGTTAGATCTTCTACCTCTATATCCAGAATTTAATAGTTATTACCTAAAACTGAAAGCAAATTAAGAAGCGGTAATCTCAGGTTATTTTTTAAATAACGTGGGAGAAAATTCCAGAAGAAACAGTTGCAAATGGTTATCTCTAAGGAGTGGGGATTAAGAATTGGGAGGAATTGATTAAGGGAAAATTCTAGTAAGATTATGTGTCTTTTAAAAACAATGTCCACATATTTTATTAAAATGGATAAGATTAGATGAATGGGTGTCCTGTCAAAGCACCCAGGCTGGTCCAGCTCTGTTAAGAATCTGCAAGTGCCCAGAGAAGAAAGCGGAAATGCTTGCCTTTACAAAGTGTCTTGGATTCATATCAAGGCCATGGCCAGTCAAGTGTGATCATTTAATCTGGCTCCCTTCTTGTTTGCATACACATTTGTATTCCAGACTTTGGTCAGGGTGAGTCCACTGACTGTTTGCACAATTTCTTGGACTCCATTAACTAAAGGGCACACAGCTCCTGTTTGGCTGAATGGTCTAGCTGGCCATCTTCTGAAAGCATGGCTTTCCCAGAAGGATTTGGATGGGGGGCGTCCACTGCAGCTTATCAAGTGGACGGTAGGAGAAGCTCCTTCGCCTTTGCTAGGGCTGGGATGGAAATGACCTTTTTGGGTCCTCTGTGCCAAGAAAGAGGGTGAGGGTGAGGAAGCCAAAGGAAAAGAAGGAAAAAGGGATAAATGAGCCCATAACTGTATCAATGAGACTGTCACTTTTCACACAGAAGAAGCTCACCTTCCCTTGTCCCTTTCCTTACGCAGGGGTGGTGGTAGTGAGCGGTGGACCACCAAGCTGCACCTATAATTTCAGTTTGTTCAAGTTCATCTGAGACATCAGTTTACATTGGACTAGCTGCCTTTGTTGTTGGTTTCTTGAACACATTTGTCCCAATTCCCCCAACAAAAAAGATAATTTCCCCTACTGGCTGGAAAAATATTGGGTAAATTTCTTCAAAGAATCCAGGAGACTTGACTGGAGGATGTTCCTCTCTAGGGCACGGTGTCCTGTTCTATTTCTGGTGGCCACAAAGCAGAGCCTAATCTCATGTGCTGCCCCATCTCCTGGGCAGCTGAGGAGTACAAGGAACAGCTGCAAGATGGGAGGGAATGGAGCTGGAGGGCTGAGTCTGGTCTCCATCCTACCACACACGAGCATGAGCATGTGAGTGCATCATCTTTCCCGAGTCTCAGCTTCCTCTTCTACAAAATAGGAAGATTAGGCTAGTTTTCCCAAAACCTATGTATTTTCCACTTAAGGAATTAAGGGTTGTTTGTGCCTATCATGGGAACAATACGTATTTGGTCAAATACACGTGGGAAACCCTGGCTTAAACAAAGCTTAGAGAGTTTCCTGCAGTAGTTTCCTAGAGCAGCTGCAGCAAATCATCAAGAACTGAGAGGTTCCTTTCCTCACTGTTCTGGGGGCCAGAACAAGTCACTGGACTCCCTAGACCTGGGGTCCATCTAAACTCTTTACTAGTTCTGTGTGACTTTGAGCAAGTTATTCAACCTCTCTGTACTTCCTTATCTGCAAAATGGGGATAATTATGGTATTTATATTATAGTTGCCGTGAGGCTTAAATAAGATGATGTGTATCAAATGCTTGGTGCTTAGCAAGTGCTCAATGCATGGTCTTTATATAGGGATAGTCACAAAAGATTTCTGAGGATGACTCTGTAGGACTCAGCGGTTAACTTGGCATAAATCTGCAGTCAGTTATATAAGACAATATTGTGGATTTCAGATACCCATTTCCAGGTCCTGTTCACTCTGGACTCAGGAATGACCTCATTGGTCCATTCTGAGCTCCTGTCTTCATGGGGTCTCCAGATTGCCGTACTTCTTCTGTCAGTTTATTTCATGCTTTTCTGCACCAGGCTTGCTGCAGCCTTATTTTAAGATTTTTATTTGTGGCCTCTAACCTGCTATTGTGCTGTTAACTCTATATCAGCAGCTTTGAAGTAGGGAGACTTGATCCAACACGACCTCTCTCTTTGTCAACTCAGAATTTTTTTATGTTTGCTGTTTTCCACCTAAGAGCCCTTACCTACCTTTTTGCTCTGGGTTTGAATCCTAGGTCACGCACTTACTGAGTGACCCCGGGCTAATAACTTAAGCCACAGTTCCCTTATTTCTAAAATTAGGAAAATGATGCTGCTCACTTTGTAGGTTTGTTCTGGGGATGACAGAAGTTAACACGTGTAACCAGAGTGGGTGAGTGCCTGACACAAAGTAACAGCAATGATAATACTATTATCGTTGTTCTTTCTCCTGGCTATATTCTCTTCTACTGAGTGACATTGTCCGCAGCACATAGTGGGAATGGTCATTTCTTCTTTGTTCTGCATGTTGGAATATATTCCCTCTTCACTCCTTCTGGACTGGTTCTACCAGCAGCTTCTGCGAGAGTTCCCATTTAGCTTCCCCTCCACTGTTGTGGAGATCACATACGGGGGATGTCAATGGCTATGTCCTTTGTCAAGTCAGTGTGGACTGGGATTTAAAAGCTGAGGTTGCCCTGTCACTTTGTGATTTTGAGAATCTTTGAACTTTAAGTTTGCCCTGGTCCTGAAAGTCTACAGAACCACTGGAAATCACATACATTCAGAACTGAGGACTAAACATGAATTGTATTTGGAAAAAAATAAATTTAACAGTTTGGTGATTTGTTATGAAGCATTACCATGTATATCTTTCCCCTGGTTTTCAAAGCACAGTTGTCTCTGTAGGTATCTTTGTTTTCACATATCCTGAGAATCCTGATAGATAACTAGCTCATCTCCCACCTCCCCACTGCACTGCACACCTATACCTCACCGCCCCCCCCCCCAGAAATGGGAGATATTTTGGCTCTGTTACTTGGAATAGAAGGCTCCTTAGGGTCTCTGCAGGTGGGGCTGATGGAAAGGGGCAGGGCAGGACTTTCTGATCACTGGACTTGCTAATATATTGATTACTTGGTTGCCAGTTTCACCAGACCCCAAGGTTCTTTCTTCTTCCTGTCCTTGTTTATATCCCTTTTGCCTCCACTCCAGCTACTTCTCCATTTATGGTTTTTAAGAAGAGTTTAATGAAATGTTTATTATATAAGAGTTGGCTGTGTGGTGCTTCGAGCCTTTTGGAGGAAAGCACAATATAAATCTAATAAATAAATAATAAACAAGTGATATAAGCAGGAGGAAAATTATGTGTTTTAGGTGAGTTGTAAAGAACGTTGTAAAAACTGTAAAATGTATTTGTTAGATGAAGAGGCAGGGAAAAAAATGCAGATAATTATCGCTTGTACAGGAGTGAGTCTTATACAATATTTTAAACTACAAAAACAATTCTCATGAGTTTTAACCCTTTGTGGAGCCACCTCTGCCTCTGTTTTCCGCTGGAGGGGATATGAAACAGAAAACAGCAGGTAGCTCAGTAGCATTTTGTTTATTTCCTCGGTTGGCCACGGAGGAGCTATGAAAATGACATTTAGGACCCAATTCTACAGCTCTTATGAGCTTATAACTCCCAGTGATTTCAGGGAAGGCTCTTAAGGGATGAACATGTTCTGCAAAATCCCACAAATCCTAAGCAAAGTCTAAACTACTCCATTAACACTTCCTGGTGGGATCTGAGTCTATGGTTCTTAGAGAAGCAAAGGCCTCAGTTTTATGAATGCCATTTTCAACCTTTGATGCTGCACTGGGTACCCATATAATGTTTGGATTTTGATTTAACTTTGACTTTGGCTTTGTGTTGGGAGAAAGTAGGGCTGGGCTCAAACTTTGGCCTTCTGTTTCCCTTTGGATGTCAAAGATGGAATCCTATAGCTAAGAAATGTGGAGTTATTTTTGCATTTATTTTATTTTATTATTTTTTTAAAGATTTTATTTATTTATTTAACAGAGATCACAAGCAGGCAAAGAGAGGAAGGGAAGCAGGCTCCCCACTGAGCAGAGAGCCCGACGCGATGCTGCGCTCCATCCCAAGACCTTGGCATCATGACCTGAGGTGAAGGCAGAGGCTTCAACCCACTGAGCCACCCAGCCACCCCTTATTTTTGCATTTAAAAAGTAGGAGAGTAAACAGCGTAGTTGCATTAGTTGGTTTTAGATCCCATTTCTGGTGATTTCTATTCAGGCTTAATCTTCTCTAGTCCCTTTTAAAAACTCATCTAATGTACACACCTGAGCTAGAGGCGCATTTCATCTACCTGCTTTAGATGTCAGCACAGGCTCTATATTTCATTAGCTCACTTCCTCCCATCCCAGTACTAACCAGGCCCGGCCCTGCCTAACTTCCAAGATCAGACAGGCTGGGGCGCCTTCAGGGTGGTGTGCCTGTAGACTCATTAGGTCACTTCCTGTTTGCTTTCTCCACTCAACAAATATGGCCTGTTTATCTTGTTTCTGCTTTCTGCTAAACCCCGTCCATTAAACATCCAAGTTTGGGATGACTGCCTGTAGAAATTTTCTAGAAGAGGGCTCACCAGGGATATCTATGCTTTGTCTGGAACACCTAGAAAAGAAGGAGAGAAAATAGACATTGAAGCATGGTTATTAATTTCTTGATACGTAAGGAGAAAGGAAAAACAGAGGGAATCATGTATTCATGAAATTTTTCATAGCTTAAAGGTTGATATGACAGAAACTACCTTTCTTTCCCCCAGGTTCAAATTTGTTGTCCACAATAGTCTTAATTATTGCCCCTGCCTTTAACTTTTATTTAAATTCCAACTAGCTAACATACAGTGTAATACTAGTTTCAGGTGTACAATATAGTGATTAAACACTTCAATACCGTATCCAGTGCTCATCACAAGCAAGCACACTCCTTAATCTTCATCCCTAATTTAATCTATCCCCCTTTTTTGATTGTACCATGAAATTTTGTAGGCATCATGGAAAGAGTATGGGCTTAGGAAGGAATGATATTCAAATATTCATCAACTCATTCAACACCCAAGGAGATACCAACTGTAAACAACGGGTATAGGCTAGACTGGCACTTGCGTTGACTAGTGAGAGTGGATACCAGCCATAAACAACTAGTATGGGACCGTTGAGACCATGAAGAATAGAGCTGTAGAAAACTGATATTGACTAGGATGGCATCCACATGGACCAATCAGAATGGATACCAGCTATAAACAAGCATGGGGACCACACTGACATGTACGGATTGAATTTCAGGCTTATGAGTGGGACACATCTGGAGTATATCGAGACTCTATTTGTGAACTACTGAAGAATTACATCAGTTAATGTCTCTAAGCCTTAGACTTCTCACCTAAAGAATTTCTTTTTTTTTTTTTTAAAGATTTATTTATTTACTTGAGAGAGCGAGCGAGCACATGTGTGTGTGCATACACACAAGTTGGGGAAGGTGTAGACGGAAAGAATCTTCAAGCAGACTCCCCTGCGAGCTCTGAGCTTAATGCAGGGCTGGAGCTCATGACACATGAGAATGACGAAGTGGAACAAAACCAGGATTTGGTCACTTAACTGACTGAGCCACTCAAGCACCCTTCACCTGTAGAATTTCCAATGCTTATCTCTTTTTTTGAACGTTCACTGGATGAA